ATAAGCTTATATGTTTAGATATCTATCTACGTTCATATTCATACAACGTGCAACCTCTATTTTGTTCAGCTTCATTTTCATATTTTAGTAGCTTTATAATATGTGAGGGCGGCCTGGTGGACCAGTGGTTAGCGCTTCACAGTGCAGAGGTACCGGGTTTGATTCCGGCTTCGGCCTTCCTATATGGAGTTTGCATGTTCTCCCCATGCCTGCGTGGGTTTTCTCCCGGTACTCCGGTTTCCTCCCACATTCCAAAAACATGCATTCCAGGTTGATTGGGCTCTCCAAACTGACCCTAGGTGTGAGTGTGAGCGCAGATGGTTGTTCGTCTGTGTGTGCCCTGCGATGGGCAGGCAACCGGTTCAGGGTGTCCCCCGCCTACTGCCCAAAGACAGCTGGGATAGGCTCCAGCACCCCCCGCGACTCTTGTGAGGATTAAGCAAATCGGAAAATGTATGGATGGATGGATAATATGTGAATACAATTCATCAAAGTTCGTTTTGTGTGAAACTCCACTTCGTAGCTTGTAGTTCCGTAAATTGCCACTTGGCGTCAGTGTTACATCACTTTACACAGCACTGACACGCTGACAAACACCTGCGTAAACTTGTCAAGTTTGCTCGACTTTTTTGATTGTTTCATAAAATATTGAACTCGCAACCTAGGCTCGTTAAGGCACATCTCATACACATGGCAACTTGCTTCACACAAGCAAAGAACACCTACAAGCATTTACAAACAATTTATGACATTCAGAAGCAAAGCATTGGGAAAATCAAGAGCTTGTAAAAACCAAAAAGAATGTATATTGACTTTTAAATACACTTACAAAAACTTAAAAACGTTTAGGTAAAAAATAAGGATAGGTTTATAAAATAACAATGAAAAAAATGATTTAAAAATGTTAAGGCCTTATTCAAAGGTATATTTTGGCATTAAAAAAGAATAAATAATGAAAATGTATTCTAGAAAATAGCTGACATGGTAAAAAAAAACTTTTTTCTCAATTAAGTATCCTTTTTTCATATCTAAACTATAAACATTTCAGATTGATGTAATATGAAAAGGAAAATAGCTGCCATATTTAAAAAATGGTGTATGATTTTTTTTTCAACTACAGTACCTGAAATTTAAAAAAAAATGGTAACAAATGTTCTTTGGAAATATCTGAAATATAACAGTTAAAGACTATCCAAGTAAAAATTGTTTGGAAAATAGTGGGTACATTGAAACATTTCTGATAATAGTTTTTATGGAGATCTTAAATAATTTTAATTTATTTTACATTAATATCTTGATTATAAAAACAAGGTTCATGATGTAAATCAACAATATTCTAATTCATCTGTAAATATGTTATTTGTTTAGCTGTTTAAAAATTGATAGAACGAACAAAGCAAGTGTCAGCCAGTGTTTGAATAGAAGCATCTGGCGGGGCGTTTAATGGCTCACTTAACTTGGCCAACTTAATTCAGGACCTTCACCGCACGGGAGTGTCCGCCAAAGGAATTCACAGCTTCTTTAATAGCACTTTTTCTTTTTTTATCCCCCTCCACCCCCTTGGCCCCCTCCCAACTGCAATGAATGTCAACGCAATATGGCCGCCGCCTGGCCTTGGGAGGGGGATTGACTTGTTCCCAAACACTTAATTCAATTTGTCATTGCTGCTGCTGAGAGGTGGGGGCTTGAGGGTGTGGGAGCTCAAATGCTCTAATTTGTGTTAATGAGGGCTAATAAAGTCATAGCCCCCTTACTGCTGAGGGGGGTGGGGGTGGGGATGTCTATGTCATCTCAGGCGCCTCTCCTTTTCCCTTTTTTTATAAATTCGATGCTCCAAGCTAGCTAGCTGAGTAGTGAAGGCCGGTTGAGTGTTTCCATTGTCTTCTTCGTTGAGACGATGGGCTTTCATCCGTTTCATGCACAGTACTTAGGTGACCACTCACTCGACGGCCGAGGATAAAATAGCCAAAATTCAGCATCAGGGACGTCATCGTGTGGTGCCCATATACCACACCCTAGCTAGCTAGACAGACAGATTATATACACACACACACACACACACACACATATATATATATATGTGTGTGTGTGTGTGTGTGTGTGTGTGTGTGTGTGTGTGTGTGTGTAATATGTGTATATTCATCTTAATCAAAAACTCAGGTGATCTTAAAATTCTGTGTTTGTTTTCAGTCTTCTTTAATCAAATTTCCAATGTCAATCTAAATAGTGTGCTCTCATCAATTGATCAACAAGGAATTACACCAAAAACAAACAAGGAAGAACAAAGTAGAGTTAGGAACTGTACCCACTAAAAATCTGTGAAATAGCAGCACCACGACCCCGCCACCTGCCATGGAGCGAGTTTAACTATCAAATTTCCATTGATCCATGATAATTCCAAAATTCAGGGAAGTTAAAATTCATGAAAAATACAGTTTATCAAATTCAATAGGATTTTTTCCTGCAATAAACTGGCTAATAAAGTCATGGCTTCCTTCTATTAGGCCTGGGTGCGGGGTGCGCGGGCGCACGTGATTCTGCGTGTTCCGTGCATGTCGTCTGAGGTGGACACTTTCTCTGTATTGTAGGTCTAATTAGACACCCTTTGTGGAGATAATGCCGCCGCCATCTGGCCGGGCCTTTTTGGGGGTGTCGTCCAGAGGGTCCGCTGGTCCCCACAATCCCGCCTTGCCCCGCCCTTTGCTCAATTGCACTGGCGGGAACCATCTTATCGCTTTGGTTGACACCACCAAGACCCTTTCACACTTGAAGGAGTTAGTGAAAGATTGATGTCCTCCGACACATAACATAAAATAGACGACAACCCCCCCAGGCCACCATATTGTCGCCCGTGTTGGCAACAGAGGTCAAATGTCACTTTACAAAGCTATGGTTGCAAGGATACATGAAACATTTTCAGATAACAAAATTACAGTGGAGCTTCTGGGAAATTTAAATCCTACTTTTTAAACAAATTTCACTAATTATAAAAGAATTTTTTTTTTTTTTAATGCAGACGGCACGATGGTCAAAGGGTTCGGACGTTGGTCTCATAGTGCAGAGTTGCAGGGTTCAATTCCAGCTCTGGCCTTCAGGATGGAGTTTGCATGTTCTCCCCGTGTGTGTGTGTTTCAAAATATTAAATTTTTGTTTAAAAATTGTTTTTTTCATCATTAATACACGATTCTAAGCTTGTAGCATTTTTTCTTATCAAACACACAAATGTCAACCATTGCGTTTATTTTGTTAATTAGGTGTGTGTGTGCGCGTGTGTCAAGCGGCCCCTCCTCCTCCGTCATCGTCGTCGTCTTTCAAGCGGCGAGCGCAACCCTTTGCCGACCTCCAGCAGTTGGCCTCCTTCACGCCTCTTTTCATCCTGCCTGGCAACAACAACAACCTCGTCCATCTGCCCCCTCCTACCCCCTACCCACCCAACACTCACATGCCGACACTGACAACCTGCACGAGAATGGCCATGTGCCTTCATACAAGCACACACACGCACGCACACACACACACACACACACACACACACACACACACACACACACACACACACACACACACACACACACACACACACACACACTTTTGGTGTTGCTGCTGTTAACAAGAGCTTTAACATGGCGCTGCCAGTGGTTAGCAATCTTTTTTTATCATTTTATCCAAGGACCCCCCCCCCATAACCCTGATGCCAATTAAACAACTGCAGTGTACACCCCTCACTTAATCAGAAATCAAACGACCCCCTAAAAATGATAACCTTTTTTTTCCTCTCAACAATACACTTTTGGATCCCTTGAAATGGAACACCTTATTCTCAAACTTAACATTGACTTTTGTCAACCTCTAAAATATTCAAGCTTTTCTGGATTTGTTTTTTTCCACAAAATTTAGTCGTACTCTTCTCTCTGTCTTCTTTTGAAGACAACAAAAAAGCAGTTTGCACAACAACAAGGATTTAAAAGACTAATGAATACACTAAGTGTGTAGCTTTCGCTACAGTGCGACACGGGATTTTTGTAAAGGTTTCAAGTTTCAAGACCACCTTGAACAAAAAAATGTTAGCATTCGACGTTTTCGTCGTCCTTTGCTGTTGGAGGCTCCGTTCACAACTTCTGAATGCAGCTGTTTACTGTCAAGCCTTTGCTGCCTGTATTGAGCTCCGTTTTTTTGGGGCAGTGAATAATCAAACGGCACACTCGAACAACATTCTGAATTTCCGAACGGTCGTAGTCAAGCAGCGTGCTTGGAGCGTATTTCCGAACGCACCCACAGTGAAGGAACGGGGTTTTGTGAGGCGACGAGTTCGAGGGCGCGTTTGGAAACATTCTCAGAGTGTGCCCTGCTTCACTCCAGCCGTTCGAAATCTCAAAGCGTTGTTGAAATACGGCGTTCGATTATTCAGGGTGCACCCAAAACAGTGCCGGTGCAGCTCTCGGCACTCCAACTGGGAACACGGTGCACCACTGCGTCAGGCAGTCCAGATGGAAACAGTTTAAGCACAAGATGCTGATTGGTTTAGAACATCGTTTACTTTTGGAAATTTATGGGAGGGCAGCGAGCTCTGTCTCTCCAAACACATGACACTCATTGGTGCACGGGCATCTGAATGCGTCCCCAACAAATTTCTGAATGTGGCCCTACTGTCAAACAAATCCAATTTAAATCAAAATTCACTCCCCAAAAAAATCTATTTCTTGACTCGCCTACCGTAGAAGAAAGAACAATAGTAAGAAAACCTGCAAAATAGCAAGCTAAAACTGCAATAGATGAAGTTATGGTCACAAGTGCAAATCCAGAGCGAATCCGCAATAACCGAACCGCGAAGTAGCAATGGAACACTGGTTTCACATCAAATCATGTGTGCCACAATTAGTATCCTTGATGTTAATACTTCCCTTTTGCCAACATAGCTACCTAATCGCCTGTGATGTTTGACAAGATGGAAGAGTACAGAAAGAGGCATCTTTGACCATTCCTCTTTGCGCAATGTCTCAATCATCCAACAACATGGATCCTCTCCTCTGCATGCTCCTATATCACTTACTCCACTGGGGTTGAGGTCCGGGGACTGCAATGACCATGGGATGAGCTTGATTCAATATCTGGTGAACTATTTCTAGAGTTTTCAGTCTTACAGTATGCTTCTGTAATAAAAATTGAATTCATTTGAAGTCTTTTCATAAATTTTAACCAGGGGTGACAATCATTTTGGAGGGCACTTTATCATTAAGTACATCTACTCTGAACCGCCTCTGCCCACCTTATGTGTTAAAATGGAACAATCGTCAAAAGAGACAACTTGTGCACAAAACGACCTCTAAAATTGGGCTGTTAACCGATTTTGCAAAAAAACGACCCTGAAAGTTGGGTCAGATTGACCCAAGTAGCAGGTTGATCCCTCTTTGACCGAACTGTTTTTAGAGTGCTTTTTTTTTGGTTTGTTTTAAATATTCTTTTTTTCTTGACTTCGCTGATGATGACTTTATCCCTTGACATGAAGCAGTTTTCTCGAACATGAATTTTTCTTGAAAATATTGCTTTTGGTAGTTTTTGCCAAATAAACAACTCTAATCTGCTAGTTTAACTCTAACCCCTGTTTTTTATGTGCTCCATCTATACAGCAGTACTCCATAGAAAGAAAATTCAAGAGATTACAAAAACTTGGAAATGAAGCTGCATCCCGGAATGCATCGTTTTCCGCCTTTACGGCCCACCAAACGTAAGTAAGTCAATGTCTTTGTGTATATGAATTTAAGCGCACACTTTCACACTCTCCATCTTCATTCCTGACATTTTTTCCGCATACATGAAAGTCTTAAATATCTCCCCCCTTACCACCCTCAAAAAATCTCCGCTTTGAAAGGTGTTATTGTAGCTGTGAACGTTGTTCTTGGAATCGTCAGTTGTGCATACTTCACAGCCACTTGGCCCAACATCCTCTTGGTCTTCATCTTTTAGTTTTTTCTATGATTGATGTTCCTCCCCTTTCGTCTTGCTGTAACGGCCTAATTAGGAACCCAACTGGACCGCGGCTGTGATAGCGCAATGGAACCTGAATGGAATCACACACAATTAGGGAACGTATTAGTTCTTGTCATGTTCGTAGGGGTAATACAATAAACATGGCTCCGGAATAATCACAACCAGAAGGGGGGCTGCTGTAAGGGATCGGGAGGAGGGGGGGGCAATCATGCTAACAATGGCGGTTGCCTGAATACGCCTGTACAGTGTTAACGTACGGCGATAACGTGCATCCTGCCAAAGGTGCTGAGCCACACTTGTTTCAATCGTTCAGAGACCATGTTCGAAATGAAAAATTCTGCTGTACAGTATTGTACTTTATTCAAACACACAGTGAGAAAATCATTTGATACATTGGAATGGATTAAACAAGTTGGGCATCTTTTTCGCAATTCAATGGAAATTGCACTGCTGCACCTTCAGATGTGTCCACCTTCGCCACCGGCTGGCAGTTTACAACATACATTATTGCGATGATGATGGTCAGAGCTAACATCAGGAAGCTAATATTTAGGGATAGACCTAAACGTAATTTATTTATTTATTTATTTTTTGGGCGGGGGTGCCAATTGATAGAAGACAAGGAGGCAGATACTCATTTGCAGCAAAAGTGAAAATGTTGCCGATCAAAATGTTGAATAATACAAACTCCAACACTTTGCTTAAATGCCCTGAGGTATATTTATTAAACAGATTTGCAGCATCTTAAAGCATTTTTCTGTTTATCTTAGACAATAGATATCTTTGTTATAAAAGTCTAACAAGGTCCCGCCCTCAACGGCATGTCATAAAAAGTTCAGTGAAAAGTTAGCAAATAAATAGCTCGTTGCTTGTGGAGGCTCTCAGTCGTACAGGAAAGTTCCATCGTAGAAAGGACGACTGACAGAACCCTTTCTACGAAATAAATAGCTCCCTAAATACTTTGTTCAGAGAGAAAAAGTTCAGGGAGTTCCATGGGACAGCATCTCTCATAAGTGAAAATTTAAAGAAACGTATCATTGCCTGAAGTTGAACAACCCAGTTTTAAGATGTTATTTTATTGGATGTTGATTAAAAAAAATAAGGGGAAAGGAAATTAAAACCCCAGCAAATATTGTTGTCGTTAATCAGCTTGGCTGATAATCACTTTATCGCAAGCAATAGCACCCTTGTCTTAAACTATATACCTGTAACTATTGCAACATTAATGCTAGTTTCGGTAGCCTGTCTACGGTGTTTCCCATTATGTGTTATCATCAAGCTAGTGGACCTTTATAAGCCAAAGTGTGGTTGTCTTGCATGTAAAAACATGTACTTCCAATGAAGACTGTTAATATTTAACCAAGATAGAGATGTTGCCCAAAATAATAAGAACATTCTTCATAAAAAAACTGAACTTTCACACTACCAAATAAACTCCAGTTTTTATTAAATTTCATGAACTAAAATCATGTGAACGTACGATCAAATTAGTGACATTTTGCCTCCCCCGAAAAATAAAACCAACAAACAAAATAAAGAGCCTCCTGCTGCTTCTTAACACTTCGTGGTGGCGTGAACACCCAGATAAGCATAGCTCCTTCACACTCCAACACACACACACACACACACACACACACACACACACACACACACACACACACAGTCGCAGGGTTAAACTAAACGTCAGCGCTGAAGCATATTGCACTCCCGCTAGCTCCTCTCTCTCCACATCCTTTATTCACAGGCGCGTAATTGGTAGTCAATTGGAGCTTCCCCTTGGCCCATTGTGGGCACATTTTGGTCTTGACAGAGTGCGGAAGATTAATGGCTACGAGCAGCCGAGGGAGACTCGCCTCAGCGAGCATGGGCGCCCTAAATTCATTACGCCAATTTCCCCCTGTCTTGCTCTCCCTTATGCCCAACCCACATGCTGAAAAAAATAAAATAAGAAATTCGTGGGTGGGTCTGTAGGGAGTCAGATGGTGGAGGTGGAAGATGAGGATAGGCACTCACAAAAGGCCTTCCTCGGTAACATTGCTTTATCACCAAAAAAGAAACATTGTCAGCGGCTAAACGGTAGCGTAGCACCATCTACAGTCGTATAATGAACCCTGCATGTTCACGTTCGGCATTCACAGCCTATCCTCGTTATTTTCTTTAAAAAAAGACAAATACAATTGACTTATTCACAATTTTTGTGCTTGGGCCAAAGCCATGTCCAATCTAACAATACAGCTTTGCTGCCATCTGGTAGGATCTTGGCGCCAGGCAACTGTGTTGAATTGATGGGAGCCTCTTCATTTAGTCAGGACATAGCCTTGTCTAATAGAAGAAGCACTTTGCTTTGATTTTAGCTATTCACGCCAAGACACAGTACCTCCTTAACACTGTGTTCATAGATTAATTCCGTACAGTAAATATATCACAAATGATGACCCCAAAACACAGAGGTATCGTGCAGTGATACATCTTGACTGAGTTCAAATTTTTCTATGTCATGCAGGAGCTAAGTTTAGCTTCAAATTGTTCACCGAAGTTGCGGTCGTCACCACGTGCATGGACATGCACGGTTATGGTGCATTTGTGTTTTAAAATCAAATAATCAAACAATCTGTAAGAATACAAGAAAAAGCACAATTTGTCATAATCCCTTTTTTACGTTTTAATTGGAATTGTGAGATGTAAATTGTCTATAAGGCCAATTCCATAAAAAAGAAATACCAATGTGGTTGCTAAGATTGGTGTTTTCTAAAATCATTAAAATATGACTTAGGTAACAATGCTATTAGACCAGCGGTCCCCAAACTTTTTCCTGTGAGGGCCGCATAAGCTTTCGCTTCTGTGATGGGGGGGCCGGGGTCAGTCTGGAACAGAAAAAGGGTGACCGCAAGAGTACGGAAATGTAAAAATGGATTGTTTTCCAGAAACCCGCACAAAATGAAGCCGCCTCTTGACAGATGAGACTGACAGATGTTTCTTTGCGCTGAAAGAAACAAAAACAAAAACATCGTTTGTCCACTTTGGGTTAAATACCCTGCATTCTATTTTTCTCTTCCCGAACCTTTTCGCCATGATCCCGTTCTCTGAGAGAGGGGCCGGTTTCGGATTTTTTTTTCTGGCGTTGCCAGATAACGGCACAGAAAGATGCACCAAATGTCACCTTATTGTGTCTGTGTTTATGAAATAGTTGCTAATTAATAGTTAATAATGAAAACGGTTCAGAACTAAGGAACATTTTATTGCAAAAGCCCAACTTTATGATCAAAGACAAATCCACATCGATGAAAAATAAATCAAAATACTCTGTGGTATTTTCAGGGGGCCGGACCAAATGCGGAGGCGGGCCGGATCCGGCCCGCGGGCCGTAATTTGGGGACCACTGTATTAGACTATCGATGTTAAACTGTTTTGGAGACGTAGTCCGTGTTGTATTAATGGTTGAAGTATGAATTAGGCAATCGTAAATGTTTTTAGGGGGTGCATGTCACTTACATGCGTTTTAGCTCTTTGTGGCCAAGCTTGGGCACAATCTGCTGCGAATAGCCTGGATTATTGTACACTATTTACAGCATTATTCAAATTAAATTCATATACAATCACCCATCTACAGTTAAGTAAATACAGCGAAGAGACATCTTGATTTTGGGAACGGGCCATGGTCTCTAGTAGCTTGTAATTGTGGTGATTTATTCCCCCTGTCAAAGGCGAAGAGCCCCCGTCGCACCCAGCCTGCATTTTGGGAAACGCTACACTGGGCATGCATGACGGCCATGGCCCCGTGCCCCAAGGACTCGTTTGGGAGGCTAGGCGGAGTCGGGGGGTGAGGGATGTTCCACTGGAGGATGTCAAGTGACAGTGAAGCTGTCCGTCATCTTCGTGACACATTGCGGCATCATGACACCTACTGTTTACACTCCACAACATTATTGCTGAGCATACGCTGTTGTTGGACCTTGAGTCAGTTCTGTCATGTAAATGTCCAATTATTACACCAGGCCATGTTACACTTTTATTCTCGCGCTTTACAATGGTGTTGGTCTTTTCCATCGTTCACCAGTATCCTTCACCAGCGCAACCCCTTGAAAGTGTTGAATTCTCGCATCCCATCTGCTTGTGCAAGGAAGGGAAGTTGAATTGAAAGCGGTTCTCCCTAGAACCTGTCCCAGTCGGTGGTTGTAGAATCCTCCACAGCAATGTCTGTGAGAAGAGTGTCAAAGCGGGAGTAAAACAGGTCAAAATCCAGACAGGGTTCAAGACCAGTTGAAAATTCTGTGTGGTTTAACCAAAATGTGAGTGTCGAAGTCTGAAGTTGAGATTTAAACATTTCTACAGAGGTAGGTTTTCCAGGGGATTGGAGCCGAAACAGAGCGTGCTCTCGAACCTACTGTATTTTTCCAAAGTCAAATAATCTTTTAGCAATTTATTAAGGATAATGTAAGATGAGTTTGAAATATGAAATATAACAGTGGTTTGGGATTATAGTTTGTCATATACCTGTATTTACAGTTTAGTTGTGGTTGAGAATCCCTCTCAGCAACTTTTTAGGGGAAGTAGGGAGGAAGGGGCCGGAGAGAGGAGAAGTGGCAGTAAAACAGGCTAAAACTCAAATATAATTGGGTGAGGCAAAGTGAGAGATTTTTTTGCCTACTCTCTGTGGGTAACCCAAATGCGAGAGTGAAGAAATAAATTGAGATTTAAACATTTCTACCAAGGTATCTGCTCTAATATCCAGATTACTGGAGCCTGAATAGAGAATGCCTAAGAACCTGCTTTCTTCACCCTTGGAGTCAACAATAGATAAGTATGTTGTTAGTATAAGGCTTGGGTTGGAAAATAAGATACCGCTACATCTACAAGATAAGAAGGTGTGAAGCAATGTATTGTTTTGTAACTAACAAAATTCCCCTGAGGGTACGAACACCACAGTTTGGGAATCTCTGTTCCAGAGCAGTCTTTCCTAAATCGTTTAAGCCACATGAGAGCTGGCGCACCCCATTGCTCCAAAGCCTTTTCATAGGCAATAAAGACATCACACACAAAATTTTATATTCCAATTGATTGCCGTTATACTTTCAATGTCACGCACCCCCTGCTGAGTGTGCACCACAGTCTGGGAATCCCTGAAGTAAGGAATAGCTTAAGGATGGGGGTAGGTGCAGGTACTTCCAGGCCAGCTCATAAATCAGCGCAGAACCGATAGATTCATCTAGTGGTGTAATGTCGACAAGGTGTACAGGTTCAATTCCCATTTTCACAGCTCCTTTAAGGAAGACGCCGCAAATGTTTTGCATTAATGTCTCACCGTCTCCGGGTTGGTGCAGGGGTGCGTTAGGTGAAGACCAGGTTTATAGAAGTGAATAACAGCAAGCCTTCATAAAGATGTCACAAGAAGACACAAAGTCTCAATTTGGGGGCTGAAGCGCTGCCAGCCAGATGTGGAGCCGCAGAGCAGCGAAGGGATCATAACGCCCCCCAACAGCCCCAAGCTAACGCGCAGAACTGCCGCGCCCCCGTTTGAAGCGGTCGCCAGGAGGTGTCCAGCTGTCCTTAACGACTAGCGATTTACGACAGGCGAGGAGCCAGAGGTCGACGTTAGCGCCACTCGGACGTCTTTGTCGGAACTCGCTCTCTCGCTGCACCTCCTCCCACCGCTTGAGTTTTATTCGTCCCGCTCCTCTTTCCCCGCACCTGTTTGACACCTTGACTCTGTTTACGACCTTTGTCAAGTCGCCATTAACTATTCCTGATGACGGCCGCCGGAGCATGCAGCTAGCCTCTGCTATGGGATCGACAGTATCACCTCTCAAAGTTTGTCCTTCTGAAAAAAAACAAAATTTAACCAGTCGGGATTTGAATTGGAAAATCGAATTTGTTTTAAAAGATGTGAGTGCATCAAATAGAATCCAATCATTCCACTTCAAAATGCACCGTCCAACAATTGTATTGCACCACATGTACTGAGTGTGTAACAAATCGTCTTTTATTGGAGATAATGAATCGAACATCCATCCATCCATTATCCGATCTGCTTATCCTGACAAGGATTGCGGGCGTGCTGTTGCCTATCCCAGCTGTCATCTGCCAGTAAGTGGTGTACACCCTGAATGTACCTGAAACAATCACAGCGAGCGAAAATGTAAAGTGTTCAATCAACCTACCATGCATGTTTTTGGAATGTTGGAGGAAACCGCAGTACCCGGAAAAAAACCCACTCAGGCACGGGGAGAGCATGCAAACTCCACACAGGAAGGCCGGAGCCGGAATTGAACCCATGACATTTGCGGACGTGCTAAACAGTCGGCTAGCATGCCAACATGCAAACTCCACAGAGGACGGCAGAGATTGGTACCATGAACCTCAGGACTGTGAGGCAGACATGTTAGCTATTCGTACATTGTGTAGCCTGTTCAAATTAATTTGAATTTAAATAAGATAGATTAATGTTACGTGGTATCGCAATGTATTTATTTGTTATGAGTACAGGAAAAAAATGCTCCGTAATGTGATGTTGAGTGGGAGTGTTGTTTGACCCACCGGTGACTCATTGCAGCACCAGATGGCCTGGTGAATTCATATTAATCATAAAACAAAACAATGAAATATAACTCCAAAAAGAGCATATGGACTCCAAAGGGGATTGTCTTGCTCTCCAATTAGATGAGTGTGTATCCTCTTGTGTTTCACCGAAAATAAAATGTTAAAATACTACTTTTTGCGGGGAGTTGGAAGTATTTATTGCGGCAAAGGAAATTGATCATTAACTGAGATGGATGTGGGCCACCCTCTCGGGCTGTGTTGGACTACAAACATGGATTTTTTTTTTCTTTAGTGTGGTAATTTCAATATAATGGCACATTCAGACTAATACGCAAGTTCCTATTAGCACCCACACTGCTACATCTGTGTCCACTTTGTATATGGCGCAGAAAAAGACCGCTGTTTCTGTTTTCTTTGCTAATGAATAGTAGCGGTGGAGTGAAATTACACACAGATTGGAAATTATGAGCAATTTTTGATGCGCTGGACGTAGAAAAATGCATCTGCGGACGTTCATATTTGGTGTTTATTGCCAAAAATGTGTGCAAACACAATTGGGGGATTTAACTTGATATGATTAAATGCGAGCGAGATAGCGGTCGACTGGTTAGCACGCTCACTGTGCAGAGGACCAGGGTTCGATTCCAGCTGCTGCCTTCCTGTGTGGAGTTTGCATGTTCTCCCCGTGACTGCGTCGGTTTTCCCCGGGTACTCTAGTTTCTTCCCACATTCCAAAAACATGCATATAGATTCCATATTGTCCCGAGGTGTGATTGTGAACGTGAATGGTTGTTCGGTTATGTGTGCCCTGTGATTGGCTTGCAACTATTTCAGGGTGTTACCCGCTCCAGCACGCCCGCGATCCTCCTAGAGATAAAGCGGATTAGAAAATGGACGGATGGATCGAAGATTAAATGCATGGAGATACATACACGAACAAAAATGTAATAATAAATGTAGTAAGCCATTACAATTGTAGTAAAATGCATGAAAAGTATATAAATTCCTTGAAAAAAATCTATGTAGGAATGACTATATGGTATATACTATAATTCTTTTATATGTGGTTTTATCGCCAAAAATTAAAAGACCAAATTTTTAAAAAATGCATGGAAGTGATACTTTTTTTTAACCTGTAAAGACATATCTGCACGACAATAATGATGCTCTTTGTATTTTTTATGCTTTAATTTTTTTATTATTATTTCTTTTGTTTTATTTTTTTTAGTATTATTATTTCTGCCAGACATTCTTATTCTGTTTACTATTATTATGAGTTGCAGTAGTAGAAGTAATGGTGTTAGTAGCAGTATTAGATTGCAATGTTGAAAATGACATGGATCTAGTCAGCATTTAGTTTCAGTCATATGTTTATAGTGCTGCTGACCATGTTAGCACATGCCCAATGGGCATAAAGTCACTGAACATGTATACATAGTGTTGTGATGCTCAACATGAGACAACATGACTGCTAGTCGGAGTGGGGTTGGGTTGTCATTTTGGGGGGTGACCAGCGGGGGTTCCTGGATGGCATCGTGGCCCATATGGCCTGTCACTCAAATTAGAGGCGAGGTGGGGTTTTTTTTCCTTCTTTTTTTTCAAGCAGCAACTTGACGCAGGGCTGTCTCCATGGGGTGTCTGCGGCTGTCTGGCGCTCCCTCCCAACCAACTTCCCCCCACTCGTGAGTCTTTCCATGTTTAGCGTAGCAGGCCTGTTAACAGGCTGAGGACCATGACCTTGAGAAACAAAACGCGTCGTTAAGGTGACTAATTAGCTTCTTCTTTACACCTGTATTTATGTGGAGGAATTACATGTACTTATTTCTTCTGCCAACCACAAAGAAATATATAAATGGCAATATTCTTTGTAAAAGAAATATTTAAGTGTCGTAAGTAGTTTCCGGATGGACATTTATTTACGCAATTGCAGGGAGGCGTCTATTTGGGATAACCTGTTGAAAATAAATGCCACCCACAAATGAATCAATATAAATACGTGGTGTATGAGTATTTACTTTAAGTGAAAGCAAATCAACAGAAAAATTTTTATGAGTGATTGATAGCTATGATAGGAAGATTAGCATACTTGACTCACAGTAGATGTCGTTTAGATAGATCAGTAAATAACGTTGTTGTAATTGTTTGGTCAATAGATGCTAACTAAAACAGATAAGCTTGCTTACTAGTTAAATATGCTAGTTAACCAGATGACTGTTTTGGTATCAGTACATAACTAAATACATGTGATGACGCTGCAAATATGTGACTGTCAGATTAGCATACTAGTTCGCCATGTACAGTCTTAGATCAGCTGACTAGATCACGGAGTTAAATAAATGGCAATGCATACAACTTCCTTTTTGTTGTTTCTGTTAGGATGCATTGTTTGTCCACGGTGTCGCCCCTCCCTTTTTGTTGTTCCCTTTTTCAGTGTGGACTGGGCGTCTCGCTAATTGGTGCACCTGCCTCCCTTACACACTTATACACCTGTGAATCTTCTGCTCATCAGCCACTTGCAGCATAAAAGCCAGCCTGAACACCCACCCGTTGCCAGTTCGTCAGCGATTCCTTCCTGCCGCACTCGCTTCTGCCTAGCCGTTACACCCCTGCGCCCTGCTCTCCTTGAATTGGTCGTTTTTGTTCTACAATTTGATTCCTGCCACGTTGACCTATTCCACTCCTAGCTAATAAATCCTTCTGAGTTCATTGTGTCTGCGTGTGGGTCCTGTGCTCTTTTCCCACGAAGCCTAACAGTTTCTGGTAATAAACTAAAAACGAGATATTGAAGATTAGCTTACTAGATAGCCACGCTAGCTAGCTGTTGAGCTAAACAACTTATTACAAATACATTCATTCGCTAACAAGATAGACAGATGCATGATGTTAACTACCCCTAGCTTGACAAGAAGACAAATGCTAAATGCGGCTGTGTGGATTTCTCAACCCATGATGTCAACATTCCTTTTCTCTCTTCTTTCAGCTGTGCTCCTTTGGTGCCGGATCATGAATCATGGAAAGTGATTGGGAATGAGACCACTTGGGTCAGCGACCACTCGAGGTATGACCGCTAAACAGGACACATTGCCCCCAACCTAGCTTGTGCCGAGATGACCGCTCATATCACTCGGAAGGAATGAGGATGGTCCCGTTTAAGATTACAACGTCCGGTGTCGATCGTCAATCGCACAGAGTCTCGTCAGCTCATGTCATTTGTCTTTAGCACACTGTGATATTAACAACCTCCTTCCAAGACTCTGAATTCCTGGAGGAGGCAACACATCATGAGCTGACTGACGAGGTTTGGCGGCTCGGATGACGTTGCCACGTCCAGGAAAATACACATGAATGTTAATGATGCGCTATATAGATAGGTGAAAATATCCTGCTCATTTCAAAATGTTATGGATACAAGTGGCCGAAATGAGTTTTCTCTGCGGGGTGTCTGGGCTCTTCCTTAGAGACATGTACGGTGAGAAGCCCGGTTTTCCGAGAGGGGGCTCAGTATAGCTGCTCTTCAACATTGAGATGAGGCAGATGAGGGGGTTTGGGGATCTGATTTGATACCTCTTAGACGCCTCTCTGGTGAGGTATTTTGGGGCACGTTCCACGGGGAGGAGGGCCAGGGCACACTGGAGAGATTCCGGTTACCCTGGAAACGCTTCAGCATCCCCTTGGAAGAGTTGGATGATGAAGTGGCTGGGGAGAGGAAGCCTGGGCTTCTCTGCTATAGCTGCTGCCCCCACGATCCGCTCCTCGGAAAAGCAGAGGTAAATAGATGGATGGCTGGATTTGAAAATGTTATGGATATAGTAGAGTATATAATGTAATGTATTATAATATGTGGTTGTATAACAGAACCGATAATTACTGTATTGACTTATCGCTCGATGAGAGAAATGGACACAATAATTTTTTATTGACTTGATAAATTGTTTACATACCTCATCAACATTCAGTCGGCTGCTTCGTTCCCTCCCATCAGTCACTGTGCTTGCTGCTGTGTTGGTACTCACTTATGCATTGCATGCTGACAGCGGAACGACCTTTAAAAACCGTTTAAATGGTTTGACTCGACTGTTCCTATCCGGTTCGCATATGTCCCATCAGTTCATCGTCACACGAAACTTTTTTTCTCATGAGGCCCAGCAGTGAGCCGTAGCACTAGTAATGGTCAAGTAGTGCTAATGCTGGCCGGCACAACCATGCATTCGGCTACCTATGCGGCATTTAAAAGTGAAAGTCTGCAGCTGCATGTTGTTCATTTAATTTCAAATCTATTGTGGTGGTTTTTGGAGTCCAAAAGCTCAGAAATGTGTCATCTCCCAATATTTATGATCCTCACTGCAGTTAGCTCCCCGGGAACCTATGATTGCATTCTAAATAACAAAATAGATTGTGGCTAAATACAGGTACAGATTTCTTAGTCATTGACTGAGATCAATTTTATGCAAGAAGAGAATCAGGGAAAAAAAAAAAAAAAAAACAAGTCAATACCAGTACATCATCAAGTCTCACATGAACAATGAACTGTTTTTCGTGCTTTTTTTCTGCGTTTGTTTTTGTGACACTTATTCCAAAAAGGCTTTAGCCTAAGTTTGTTGTCATGATTCTGTTGAGCACCTTTTGCACCCCCACGTCAACACCCCTTAATGATTCCTCCAGATTGTCTGTTTCTTCTTTTATTGTGACGATAAATCTGATGTAACAAGCTGAAAACAGCCATAAATCTGGACTGGGGCTCAGATTGCAACGCACCAATCCTCCTGGGGGGAGCGCCGTAAAAGCGCCGAGTGTGTGTGACAGTGTTAGTGTTGTTATTGTGGCCTGGCAACTTTTTTTTATTTCTAAGCCAACACTTAACGTCAAGCAGATGATTGCCGTGTTGTCAGGGGCTGAGAGACAGACTCACAAACAAAAGTAAAGAATGAGTGTTAATATTGGTATTTACATATCAGAGAGACGTGTCATCTGAGAGGAGACCAAGGGCAGCAAGAAAATGAAGCAGTTTACAGCATGTTAGAAACAAATAAAAATAAAAAGTGAACAGACAAATATTATCCAAGAGGAGACTTCGGCCAGCAAGAAAATGAGCCACTTTACTTGAGTTTGCCAAAAAATGAGAATGGGCGCGTGAATAACATGTATTAACTCTCCAATAAGGAAAATACTCTTCTCCAAGAAGAGACTAAGGGAAGCAAGAAAGTGGACATTACAAGACGTGCAAACAAGCAACAAAATTAGAGAACAAATGCATATGACAGTGTTACTATTTTCATTGTAATAAATAAAGATATTTACTCCTCAGTAAAGGCGGATCAATCTTTATCTGAGAGGGACAAAGTGCACAAGAAAGTGGAGTACTGAGAGATGTATAGAATGAGTGGAAATACAGGTATTTACATATACTCTAGGGAAGCAGAATAATTCAACAAGCCCTGCAAGAATTGAAACAACCAAAAATAGAACGAGGGTACTGGTGTTAATTTTCTGGTGAAAGTATGTGAGAATGTGAGAGGAGACTAATGGCATCAGAAAAATGAACTGCTGCAATAAATGCAGAGCAAGAAAATTAAAACCAAAAGGAAATGAACGAGTGTTAATACAGGTATTTACGGGGGAGACAACTCTTATCTGAGATGAGACTGAGAGGCAAGAAAAGTTTTCTTGTTTCTAACAAATAAGGAGAAAGGTAAATACTTCTTTGTAAGGAGATAATTATTATTCACGAAGAGAACCTGCTTTTCTATTGACCTTAATCTCCCCTTGGATAAAATATGTCTTCTTACCGAGGTGTCAAGTCAAGTCAGCTTTACTGTCAAATATGTTCTATGTTCAAGCACAGATGAATATGTTTATGGGTATGTTTATCCTCCTCTTTGTTGCATTTCAGCCTTCTGTTTTCCTGTTGCCCTTAGTCTCCTCTTGGGTAAACTGTCTCTCTTTTCCCGAAAGAAAATTTGTCTTTTTTTTTTTGTTTTTTTAAAGCAGTAATGTTTCATACTGCCCTTAGCCTCCTCTTAGAGAGAAGTCATATCCTTTCCGAGAAGTAAATACCTACCGGTATATAATTACCCTTTGTTTTCTAGCTGCCCTCAGTGTCCTCTTGAATAAAACGTGTCTTACAGAGAATGACAGTTTTATCTTGGTCGTCCTCCCCTTTTGACAGTGTTATTTTGCAACACTACATTTTCTTGCTGCCCTTAGTCTTCTCTTTGGATCAAATTTGTCATCACAAGCTGATATCTCACTAAGCGAGGAATGCTTGCAACGTAGCAAATTTTGGGTTTTCGTCAGGGTTCATAAAAGGTTCCAATGATGCTTGCAGACAGTTTTTACCTGATGCAAATAGTTTGTCTTGTTGTGAATAAATTTGAACATGTTCAAAATTTCTATGAAAATGTTGAAATTTGAACCCAAACCCAAAGTTCGTTATGTTTACAAGCGTCCGCAAACAATTGTCGCTCAGCGAGATACCAGGTTTACTGACTAAGCATACTGATATGTTACTATATTACTATTAAAGTATGATTTATGACATGAATCCGTTTTCATATGAGTATCCCAAAGAACTTGAGGGATTGAGGCCAACGAGTCTGTTGGAAATAAGAGAGTATAATTGTGCTGGCGGTAAAAAATGTAAAATAATAAATGGCTGAAGCATGAGCAAAGAATAATATTCAATCACAGTGGGCCTAATACAGACTCCTGCATATTTGGACTTGATTAGCGGTTCGGCGTGCCAAAGGTTTTTTGGAAGCCCCAGATGTCTTTTTGTAGTGGCTTTCAATGAGATGAATTAGAGACAAAAGACCGAGTGGACATGGCGTCTGCACATCAAACACACTCGGCCATTGTGGTCGTCATCCTCCTCCTCCGTGGGGCGATCAACAACAAGGTGTCCCAGCAAAGAACCAGAGCGAGTGCTGATAGACGCACCTCACGCTCCCCCCTTGCCCTCTTCGCTAATTCATCTTCTCCGGAGTGTCCTAATGAGCTCCAGTTGCTCCAGAGCAGCCCCGTCAGGAAGTGGACATTTTGGCCCAGGATCAGTGCTTCTTCATGGGGGCCACTTAGGGGCTGCTAACCTCTCCTCCCCCTCCTCCCTTGCAATCCCCCTCCAGTTGTCATTGTGATATGTTATGTTTTTTTTTTCCTTTGTGAAATCATTTGGAATAATTATGTGCTTTTTGCATTTCTCCACTACAACATTTAGCGTTGTGAGTCTGCCTCTTTTCTGTACATTGGAGAGAAAAAGGTCTACCAAATTTGAGTGGGAGTTAATAGGCCCTTAAAAGTTCGTTCCCGAAGGAAAACAAATCTTACATGTATATACTACAGTGAGATGTAAAAAGATAAAATCAAATGTATTAGTGGCAAAAATGAAAAAAATAAATAAATTTAGGGTTAAAAACTTCTATTGTATATACAAAAATAGTATCCAAAGTTATATTGAAAAATGTATCCATTCATAATTATGAATATATAAAATGTGTGTCAAAATCAAATTAAAAATAAAACAAATAGAATTTCGACAAAATTAAACACATAAACAACAAAATCTAGATGAAAAAATACCCCATGGAAAAAATGGGGGTAAATAAATGACATGAGGAACAAAACAAAGAATAAATAAAATAAGTCTAAATCAAACAGTGAGGTGAAAGTTTGACATTTCAAAAATATGAATTCTAAAAATAAAAGTAAAATGTGGCAAAAAAATGTGATTTGATTTAAACCAAAACAAAAATAAATCGATACAATGGAAACATTTACTTGTTGAAAACAAAACAAAAAAGTAACATTTGATCAATTCGCACATTTGACATTGTAGTGGGACGTGTTTGCAATGTTTGGTGGGGCTGATGTCGCAAGGCAAATATTGGAAACAGTTGTCCTCCCCACTTGAAACTGAAGTGAACGCCGTATCAAGCATCCACTCACTAAATCTTTCTTCACTGCTGAGGTCATGAGAGGAAACCGCCGCCAAAGGTGCTTATCTCCAATCAAGTTCTCATCAATTACCGCCATCAAACGACACCGCTCTGACCGGGGGAAATGACCGCGTTTTGAATGGTAATCATAAGCATATAGACGTCATCACAATTCAGAATAAATGGCGAGTATACGGTAGACCGCACTTATTGATTTATACGCCGATAGTTTTGTCACACGTTGGATCTTTCGGTTGGAGAGTGAAATAATATCCCGTCATTCGTGCAATCCATCGAGTGATTTTTGCGTGATTGCCGGGAAGACGACGAGCGGCTTCAGCCAACCTGTCGTTTTGATGAGCTGTCTGACGATCCTTTCTTTCCCTTCATAAAGTCCTCATTAAAGCATCACTGGAAGGCCTTCTGTCAAGCTATGCTTGCCGCTACGATTTGCTTTTCTCACTGCGACCTGGTGAGTTTGCCTTTGCAAATTGTTCTCAGCTCTGTCGCCGCCCTCGCAAACCAAATTGTTTCAGTAGCGATTGTCTTTTGCTTTTGGTGTTTCTTCTCTATTCTCTCCATGTCGCCGCACAGAACAAGGAGCTGGGTTGCTATCTTTGTATTTTGCTGTTTGTTCTCTCTCCTTCTGTCATACCAAGTTTGTTTTTTTAGCATTTCTTTTTGACCTTTTGTGATTGCTTTTTGTCCTCTCTCAAACCAAATAGCTTCAGGAGCAAATGGATTTTTGACCTCGGGGAACATGCTTTTTTATTTTTTTACTGTCCGGGAATATAGTGCAGTTGCACCCCCACTACGTTAGAGGGCAGTGGCGCTTTCATTGGCAGAGTTTGCGCAGGGAGCATTGTAAGGGAGGAAATATGACGAGGCGTATCGAGCGCTTGGCTCCACTGTGACTACGGTACCAGACGAGGAAAGTTCGGTGAGCTTACTGTGTCTAAAAATGTTTGTCAGCGGACAGCATGAAGCCAAATAAATTAAGGCGTCACTTACACCCCAATCACGTTGATAAGACGCTTGAGTTTTTTTCAGCGAAAACGTGCCAAATATTGCCAACAATCATGCCGCTTTGTGACTGCTATGTCAGTAAACTAAAATAAGGTCCCGGCTACACATTGAGCAGGAGCCGAGAGTTGCTGTGTCCTGCTTCACACCTCGCTTCGAAAAGCTGTGCATTGACAAACGTGCTCGTTGTAACCACTATTGCAGGCATCATCTTTGATTTAAAAAAAAAAAAAAGCACAAATTATTTTATATATTTTTGTTTTGCTGGTTAAAGTTTTTTTTTTAAAATATTGTGCTCCTGGGATAATGTTGGTTCTTAGTTTGAATGCATTATTAGCTATTGATTTTATGTAATTTTATTCTTCAGTATCATATGGTTTGACATGGTCAGTCAAAAAATATTTATAGTTAAATTAAGGATTTAATGTTATTTTTGAATTTCAGATGCACTTGAAATCTTTTCTGGTACAGTTAGTAAAGCTATTCTTTGTTGTAAGTTGGTCCATATTTCTTTTTTATTCTCTTATACGTTAATAAGGATACAGTGTTATGCAAAGGTGTACTTATAACAATTCTA